TTTTTTTTTTTTTTTCTTTTAAAACAACCTTTCCTGGCTCATAACCTCTCTGTTCCCCCAGCATTTATGGGCCGGGGGGGGTGTGGAAATCAGGCCCCACTGCCTTTCCTTGCAGGAGGTGAATGAGCAGGAGCCCCTCCACCGGGCGCCTACGCCTTGTAAAGCTGCCTGGTCTCCCGGCCTCTGGCTGACTTTTTATGGAGAACAAACAAACCTCTTTAAAAGCAGGTTTGAACTTTCTTCTTTCCTGGTCCCTGCAGACGTATCTGCTGTGCTCGCTCAGAGCAGGAATGGCTTGGTTCGGCCTGCCCTCACCCCCTCCCAGCTGAGATGTGCCTCAGAGGGAGTTTCCTGGAATTTACAGCTTCTGTACGGCCTCGGCTCCAGCGCTTGTAAAACGCAGCCAGGCAGCCGCGGGGCCGCTCCTGAACACACGTGCATGCCCACCCTGTAGGGACACAGGCGCACTCATGATTGTGACAGACCTGCGGCGTGCAGCCTCCAACCAAGCGTGCTCATGCTGAGGCGCCCTGGACACAAGTGTGTGTGTGCTCACAAGCACACAGTGGCCCGGGGCCTGCAGGAGACGCTCGAGGGAGAGAGCAGACGACCCTCCTTGGCTGTGACCCAGGGCAGTATCTGCTGCCTGTTTCAAGCTGCTCTCTCTGGTGCTTCCAGGTACAAAGGTCTCCTCCGCTTGCTAACTGCCCATCCTAATTCTAATGCAAGCATTTCCTGGGGGGGCTGTTCTAGTGCCCTAAAATGCTCCAACACAGCAGTTGTCCTAAAAGACCAAGCGCCAGGCCCCTGCTGCCCACAGCTCGCCCCCTCTTGTTGCCAGGTCCGCGGGAGGCCGGGTGCAGCTTGCAGTGATGCCCGACAATGGTCGGGTCCAGGTTCAGAGAGGCTGAACCTGGACCCGCACTGTGAAAGGCTGCACGCGTTCTAGATAATCCCTCCGGTATGATCTGCCTGCTGCTGGCGGAGCGCATTCATGCTTTGGGATATCAGACAAGAAACTGATCCGGCAATAAACGGCCCAAGTCAAATAAGACGCATCACGTGCTGAGCAGCCCCTAATATAACCCGCCAGGAGAAAGCGCCAGCTGTTCAATGGAGCCCTGCAGACCCAGCCCTCCTCCGCCTCCCCGGTGCCACTCCCTGCTTCCCTGCGCACCTTTCTTGGCCCGGGGCTGCTGCTCTGGGTTCGACCTAGACAAATGAGGCCGTTTGCGTTTGAAGGCGTACATCCTGGACGGGTGGACATCCTGGAAGCAGCAGCACCTTCCCCCTGAAGCATGCCAGTCCAGCAAGGGGACGTGCTTCACCAGTGCTACAGCTGGACCCGACGAGGCAAACCCCTCTCGGCACAGCGTGACTTTTTCACAACAGTGTTCTTGCACAGGTGTGCAAGGGAAGCTCCAAGCAATACCCCGGTGCTCTTCCAGCCTTTCCCCAATGGGAACAGAGGAGCGGTGGACGTGGAAGGGAGTGTCTTCACTTGCTGCCTGGCAATACTACTCATGGCTTTAGTCATTCAGGCTGCCCCTTAGCACTGTCCTCTCGTGACGAGTTAGTGCGCCAACTGCCTCCCGTGCAAGCCTGCCCCTCAGCGTGCCCTGTCAAAGCTGATAAGGCCTTGAGGTTTGCGACTCCTGGCAATGCCCTCCTTATGCCAACAAAGATTCCCTCGATGCAATGCCCACCCAATGACGTCCTACAGCCGCGGGTTTCCCAGCTACAACCCCAAGAATCGCTTTTGTTTGGGCTCGCACAAGAGCTACAGAGCTTTTCTGCCTGTTGGACGCAGGGTAAAAAGGCTCGTCCACCCCATCGCGTGTTCTGGTCTCGGACCCAAGGTACCAGCAAGCTCCAAGCGTCTGGTGGAAAAGCTCCTCTTAACACTGCTCTGCCTGCCAGCCAGAGAGCTGGAGACTGAGGACACTGGCTGCAGCTCCACCAACTCAGGAGGTGTTTTTATTATTTTTTGTTAATGAGCACCAGCCGTTCGGAGCAATACGGTAAACCCAATCCAGCCCTCCACTCCCGCCTGCCTTGCAGCTCGCTCTCTTCCTCTCCGGATTCTCGGGAGGATTCTCCCTGCTAATTTCTTCTTTCCTGTAAACAAACTTCAAATGAAACTTTCATTATAAAATAGAGCACCATCCATTACCACCGCCTGTCTCCCGCTCTGCCTCCTCTTCACCCGTACCATGCCACTCATGACACAGATGAAAGCGACAGCAGCTGCCCTAATCAGGCAGCACAATCTCTCTCTCCCAACCTAACTCTCCTCCTCCCCCTCTGCCCTCCCCTTTCCAGCTCTTGGGAGAGATCCTCTCACCCTGCAGTAAAGTCCCAGCGCGTTGGAGGGATTGAACCATTCGGGCTCACGGGCTCTTCCTGCGGTTCCTCTTCTGAAAGGGGAAGCGAGTGCCCGGCAGGCACGTCTATAGCGCCACACCCAAATATAAAAGCGAGGGCTCCAGGCACAACATGGGACTTGGACAAACAACATCATCCCCACCGCTCTCCTTATCTCCTGTCCAATATGCACAGCTGCCCTGCACATGGGTCCTGTCTCAGCACATGCAAAGCCACTGGCACTTGTAATGTTGGCACTCTGCTTCTGCACCCCCTTCTATTTGCAATCTCGGGGCGCTTCCTGACCCTTCATCAATTTAAGCCTTCCCCAACTTAGAAAAGTAGGTGCCCTATTTGAGAGCGCAGGCACTGACCGCTGCAGACCACAAAGCAAACTGGGGGGCGATGCAGGACTAGGACCTGGAGCACGGGGCTCCCCGTCCCGGGCCCCTTCGTGAACAGTCGTCCCTCTCGGAGCTGCTCGGCCCACGCGCCGACACGGGGCAGCGAGGGAAGACGACTCTCCTAACCAGCCCTTGTAAATATATGCAAGCGCTATCGGTAACCTGCTTGTCTTACAGCAAGTCTCAGTTTCTCCAGGGCTGGGTTGCAAGCACCTCCAAAGTCATTTACACCCTCTCCATCACCACGTCTGTTCCAGGCGCATTCCTGGGACTTTCTGCACAGCTTATTTTTCTCTTGGCATCCACCTGGTTTCATTTTCCAGGTGTTTCCCCACTTTCTGCGGCCACGTGCTATCTTGGACTGCTCTCCTGGATGCAGAAGTGCAGCTTGTGGGAAGAGGAGCATTGCATGTCAAATGGAAATATCAGGCACTGCATGTACCAAACAGTCTTTCTGGGTGAAAACCACAGTTGCCACATGACTGTATCTCATCTCGCAGCTTCCTTTTCAGCCTTGTGGCACTTGGTGGCCTCTCCCTGTGGCTGCTCTACCTGTATGTCGGCATCTTGGGGTGGGGGAAATGCTGCCACGACCCTGCCCCGAAGGACATCGCCTTCTACCGAACACCTTGAGCAGCCGGGTATCTTCATGT